GAAAAAGCGTATGTACATGTATATTTAGTTGTGTTTGTGCCGTTTTCGATCGTCCCGTTTCCCGCTTTTCGGTACGAGTGTGATGCATTTGATTCTGCGTTAATCTTCATTAATTGTTTGGATCCGAGTCAACTAGTCCCCTGTTTTTAACTGAAGTGCTAAAAATAATTATGGAAGCACGGATCACGCCTTATGGAGTCATGTCCTTATGAAGTCATATGGGCTGAAATGATCTTCACTTGGTTTATGTAGTGGTGATGCCCCATTATGAGAATTAAGTTATGCTGGTTAGATCTTTTTGCCTATATGACTCCATAAGAAGTTATATACCGATATACTCAAGTGGTTCCATGATTTTTCATAAAGTGCTGCTTAGTTGAATTTTGTTGGTATTATTTGATTAGATCTTTGATGTGTGGTGCATTCTATTTCTTGATTACCTAAGAGCCATGTAGATCTATTTCTCCTGCTGGATGTGGAAAAACTTGACGTATATCAGTATATGTATATGATCTCTTGAGACAGTTTTCTAAATCACACTTTACATGGTACAGCTTGATATTTATCTGTATTTTTTGTAGTTTCTCTTTGATTTTCTGGGGTTGATATTAGATTACTTTCTTCTTTTACTTGAATTGTGGACTGGTTGTTTCATGATCATAGAAACTTTCGGATCCATTGCTGGTGTTGTTTTCTCATTAGTTTATCCTTGCAGCCAGCCACCAGATCAGAAGAAATGGAAACTTTCTTGTTCACATCCGAGTCTGTTAACGAGGGTCACCCTGACAAGCTCTGCGACCAGGTCTCTGATGCTGTTCTTGATGCTTGCCTAGCTCAAGACCCCGACAGCAAGGTGGCTTGCGAAACCTGCACCAAGACTAACATGGTCATGGTTTTCGGAGAGATCACCACCAAGGCTGATATCGATTATGAGAAAATTGTACGTGACACTTGCCGTGAGATCGGTTTTGTGTCAGATGACGTAGGATTGGACGCAGACAACTGCAAGGTCCTTGTTTACATTGAGCAGCAGAGCCCTGATATTGCTCAGGGTGTGCACGGTCATTTAACAAAGAAACCGGAGGAGATTGGTGCGGGTGACCAGGGCCACATGTTTGGGTATGCCACGGATGAGACCCCTGAATTGATGCCGCTCAGCCACGTCCTTGCAACCCAACTTGGTGCTCGTCTCACTGAGGTCCGGAAGAATGGAACTTGTGCTTGGCTTAGACCTGACGGTAAAACCCAAGTGACCGTGGAGTATTATAATGACAATGGTGCTATGGTTCCCATTCGGGTCCACACCGTTCTCATCTCCACCCAACATGATGAGACCGTCACAAATGATGAAATCGCACGTGACCTCAAGGAACACGTCATCAAACCCGTGATCCCCGAAAAGTACCTTGACGAGAAGACCATTTTCCACCTCAACCCGTCGGGCCGATTCGTCATCGGAGGGCCTCACGGTGATGCCGGGTTGACTGGCCGGAAGATCATTATTGACACATACGGAGGGTGGGGCGCTCATGGGGGTGGTGCTTTTTCAGGAAAAGATCCTACAAAGGTGGATAGGAGCGGAGCTTACGTGGTCAGGCAAGCCGCGAAGAGCATTGTCGCGAGTGGGCTTGCGAGGCGATGCATTGTGCAGGTTTCATATGCTATTGGTGTCCCGGAACCTTTGTCTGTGTTTGTGGATTCCTATGGGACTGGAAAGATTCCGGACAAGGAGATATTGAAGATCGTGAAGGAGAGCTTTGATTTCAGGCCGGGGATGATTGCCATCAACTTGGACCTCAAGAGAGGTGGGAACAACAGATTCTTGAAGACAGCTGCATATGGTCATTTTGGTAGGGATGATACCGACTTCACTTGGGAAGTTGTGAAGCCTCTCAAGTGGGACAAGCCCCAACAAGCTTAAAAAGGACATGGCTAGCTGCTGCCTCAACTACTCTACCACACTTTAAGGCCTTCACCCCAATATATGTTACAGAGTAGTACCTAATGGATTGCTCTCAATTCCGTGTGTCTTGTTTTAATAATTTTAATTCTGTGCATTCTTTTAGCTTTTCTGGGGTGGAGTGGGGGAATGAAGTCCATTTGTTGTTAGTTTTTTGTGCAATAATTATGCAATTATACTACTGTTGGTGTTGAACCGTTTTAACTATTACAAGGTACTCCGTATCTTTGGCTTCTATGTACCGTTTTAGTATTTATTATTTCCTCCGTATCAGACTATCAACTTAAGTTTCTAGTTAAATATACAATTAATACACCTATAACAGTATGAATATCATCCATAAACATGTTACCTATTCATTAAAATTACTTGAATTACTTGAGATGAGATTATATCGGTAATAAGATAATCACCTAATTTACCTATTCCGTTGTCCATACTATAGATTCCTTGTACTAAAGATTCCTGGTTCAATAACAAAAGACTCACCGCAACTTTTGTGGGTGCAAAAAGCGGAATGCCATTTATATACCTTTAGTAGACTCTATGTATACAAAGAATTGTTGATACACCTAGACAGTTTTTGGACAAGTTTGTCTATATACACAATGTCAAAACTTGTATGCAAAGTGAAAGTTAGGGGTGCGTGACCTACTACTAGGGATGGACTCGGGCCGGGCCAACAGGCCCGGAACCGGACCGGCCCGGTGAACCGGTTTGTGCCCGGTTCGGGCCACCCTGCCCGGTGGTATAGCGGTTCGGGCCCGGGCCTCCAGTTTAGTGAACCGGCCGGGCCGGGCCCGGTTCGGGCCGGATTTTTTTTTTTTTGAATTTTTTTAAGTTTTGGGTTGGATTAGGTATTTTGGGCCATTGGAGGTGGTTTGGGGTGGTTTGGGGTGGAGGGGGAGGGGTAGGGGGTTAAATAAGAGAAGAAGAAAAAAAATTAAAAAACCGGGTGGCCCGGCCCGGCCCGTTCTGGCACGGAACCGGACCCGGAACCGGCCGAACCGCCCACCACCGGTTCGGGCCTCATTTTTCTGAACCGAGGCCCGGCCGGGCCCAAGCCCGAACCGGAACCGGTCCACCCCTACCTACTACAGTCTGCATATAAGGTGGGTGCCCTTAATAATACAAGTTGTCTATATACACAATGTCTTTTATGTAAGCGTAGAAAAAGATCTATATACAAAAATAGTTAAAATAACTATTTTTAATGATTGGTCAACCGCTTACTATAAAAAAAATGATTGGTCAACCGCTTTTTTATTTGATTGTTCGATGTGAAAAAAAATGAAAAATATGTCTTTGAGTACTTTTCACATTGTTTTTTATTTTATACTCCCTCCGTCCCAGGGAGAAGTTCCCGGGCTGACTTTCACACATATTTAGGAAATAAAGTTACTGAGGGGTAAATTTTACTGTTTGGCACTGTTTCGACACTGTTTGGCACTGTTTCGACACTGTTTGACACTGTTTTGCACTGTTTGACATTGTTTTGATGGAGGATAACTTTCCATTTAGGGAAATGAGAACTTTTTGTTGGGACTACCAAAAAAGGAAAGTGGGAACTTCTCCCTGGGACGGAGGGAGTATTTGAAAAGGCTAATATACCCTTCAATTATATTTCATTCTTAAATTTTCTAATAAGTATTCAGAATTAAAACTATTAACTGAAATGAAATAAAACGCTAATGACAAGGATAAAAAAAATTAAAAAACATATTGTTGCTACTTTACAATATTATTTTATAAACTAGGAAGGATTAATGTATTTCCGAAATTAATAATTAAATTAAATGAATATATATGCGCGTTTATATCATTTGTCCAATAAAAGGTTCAATCCCCAATCTCAAGGATCCCTCACGCCCCGACCCGGGGAGCACATGTGAGGTTGTAAATCACGGTGACTCATCCAATCCTAACGGTGACCTGTAGTAGACTTTATACTCGTGTGCTCCAGAGGCCTAGTCCAAGTGTCCAACACATAGGAACTGTGACCTTCACATGATCGTTGCGGGATTCGATCCTTGGTCATTTGTCCAACTTTCCTACCGCTTTACTAGTTGACCTACCAGTGCGGGTGTGTTCGTTTATATCATTTGTACATGTCACGCTCCCCTATTTAGCGTAAAATGGAAAACTATTTGTACTCGTGCTAAAATCCCCTCAAAATAGTTATGAATAGATAACTATTTGTAATCGTTTCAAACTCATGCATCAGCTGAAACAACATCAGCCTAATGTTAACATCAATCATGCACAAACATTTAATAAAGAAATTTGGGGAAGATAATATTATCTGATAATCACCAATTTCAATTAATGGAATTTGAGACTTGAGAAATAAGCATGGTATAACTGCAATGGTGTCTAATCAAGCCTTTTAGTTTTAAAGTCAAGTGCACAATAAGAGAATTGAGGATGAACAATTGGGTAATTAGCTTGCACTTCTAATACGAGTAGCATATTATTTCGGTTCATTAAATGTAGAAGTATGAAAGTAGTCCAAAGTGTCCCGTCACTTCCTTTTGACAAATCCATTCAGATGAGCTTGTTGATTATTTTTGGACCATAAATTGGATAATGGAGCAGTTTATTCTTTAGTGTTTTGAAATTTAGCACGTATAGTTTTTTTTCTTTTTCTGGGAACAGCCTGGTCAAAATTTCAATGACCGGAGGTCTGAATCTCGAGGTGTCATTTTTTCCATCCAACGCACCCTCCTTTGGGGCACGGGAGAGGATCTCAATCCTTCTTTTTTGCCCCCCTTGTGTGACCATAGACTAAGGTGATTGCCTCATTTGCCTAAGAGAACCAGCCTTGTTGGAGGATCTTTCAGCAACAACTTTACTCTTTTATTCTCCCTGTTTGATTGACGTATGACACGGTTCCATGCAATATGTAACATGTCAAAATCATCAATCATCATTTACCCTAGTGCCGCAAAGGCTCCCACCTACGGTGGGGTAAGGGGGTCAGATGTACGCAGTCTTACCCCTGTACTAAAGCACAGAGAGACTGTTTCCGGATGACCCATAATGAAAATCGCGTCCAAAATTGCATGGACTGACTGCTACTTCATAACAAAGAAGCGCAGACAGTTTAGTGTGCCATTTTGCTTTATTCCATCATATTCTCAAGCCAAAAAATAATGAATCTTTGGCTCCATTGCAAAGGATTGAAATGCAAGATGTAACATGTAAGGAAGAAAAAAAGAGCATTATTCTTTTGTTCAATTTATATCTCCAATCATCTTATCCAAATAGAAGTATTGCTATGGTTGGGTACTACTTGGGTCCATAGAGAATTTGCCCCACTGTATTGGTATAGCTTTCCTGTTAAAAGTGATAATGTGATCCTTTGTCTTATGACAAAGCATATATAGCAGAGGGTCTTGTACATCCAAACAATTTATGCTAAATACACCGGCGCTGATTTGGTTGTGTGTTCGAAGTGCGACGTTGAACTTACAAGATGTAGATCAGAGTAAATGAAGAAATCTTGACCACCCAATATGGAATGAAAAGCTGGATGTCATGCTTTGGTGCAAAATAGAGGCATAAGATCCCATGATGAGGTCTTAGTGTCCTTAACATGAGTTTGAAATTCGCTTGAAATTCTATGGACACCTCATGGGTTCTCATATAAGTTCTTTCATAACATGTTGTGACTGTCCTCCAGTATAGGAGAAAATGGAGTCCTGTGATGGGGTCTAAAATTAGTGAAGGCATAAAAATAATATGAGGGTGGAATTAAAAAGCTGAGATGTAAAGCGTGTAGTTGAGAACTAAACCGCGTGAGAGGTAAAATAACTGAAATTTGAAATGTGGAAATAGTTATAAATTCAAAAACAAATCCATGCCAAAACAAATAAATGGATAATACAACAAAGCTCTTGAAAAGCTAAATTCTTGTACAAACCTTGGAGATTGCTATCTTTCCTAACATAATGATATCTCAATACTTTAAAATAATTTACTGGTTAAATAATGAACCAGAAACATGGACGCTTCTCTACAAAACTTGGGTAACAACAAAAGGAAATGGCATTACCGTTGCACACTAACAACACTTTCTGCTTCATTATTATTATCATCAGCAAAATAACAAGAATCATCAGCTACCATCTTTGTTTCTTGCTCCAATTCATAGGCCTTATCAGTCATGCCCTCTTTTCGGTATGTATCAATCATGACAGAATACGTCAAGGAATCTGGTTTCCATTGCTTTTCTTTCATTCTCTGGAAAACTCTCTCCATCTCCATTATATCATCTGCCTTTGCACAAGCATATATAAGTGCATTAAAGAATGACGTGTTTTCTGGGATTTCCAATTTCCCAGCCAACTGAACGGTACTAATCACCTTATGAAAAAGGCCTGCGTTAGCATACCCTCTAATGAGACAACAGAAGGTCTTTGTGTCGGTTTTCATGCCCTCACCACGCATTTGGTCAAAGGTATACTCCATGTGCGTTGCGTCACCAACGTCTGAGAAAGCCTCTATAACGTTGTTGTATGTCGATGTTGTCCATGGAAATGAGAGTCTTCGCATGTATTCCATCACCGTTGACATCTTATCATACATCTTTTTTTTGCCATAACATCCGATTAGGATGTTGAAAGTTCGTGTCTCTGGTTCGATTCCGAAATCACGAAACTTTTCATACCACTTCTCCATTGTTTCAATTTGGCCTTTGTTTCCAAACAAACTCAGGATGGTATTCATGGTCCATACGTCAGGTGTGCACGAATCGCTTTCGAGCATGTTAAGAAGCACCTTCTCCATCTCTTCGTATTTCCCTGCCTTACCATACCCACTCAAGACTATGTTTTGAGTGACCGTGTTAGGAGATATAGATCGTTCATCCATTTCTTGATAAAGGGGTTCAAGTAGATCAAACCGGGATCCATCAACGCAAGCCTTGATCAATATACTGTATGTGTGAACATCAGGCGCACAAAGGGGCAGTTTGGTCATTTCGTGAAGAACCGCGAGTGCCTTTTCAATCAGATTGCTTCTAGAGTATGCAGCAAGTAATGCTGTGTAGAGTTCGGTAGTGGGCTCCAAACCTTCTTCGATCATTGTGTTGAATAGTTTTTGAGCTTGACTTGGCTGCCCACATTTTCCAAGAAGAACAAGAAGCCTCATGTATGATCCTTCTTTTGGTTGATAAAACTTTTGTTCCCTCAGCATCTCAAAAACCTAATATCATAAAAACATAAATTATCAGTCATACCCATTACCCATACAAGGGGAATATTTTAGAGAAGAAATGCAATATTATCCTATTTTTATATGTTTGAAAAGATCATTTTGAAAATATGATAATCAATTGCATAATCTTTTTCAGTCTCCGTTTGGTAGCACTTTTCTTTTTCTTTTGGCTTATTGGCCTTTCTAGCAAGATACCCAGATTTCTAACAGATGATTAAGAAATACCCCAACGTGATTCTCTTTTTTCTTATTATCAAAATGGCTGACATAAAGAGAAATGATAACTTCATTATCTTTTAAATATTACTTCAATTTATTAAAACTAACTTTTTTAACTTAACTTCTAAGATAGTTCAGACTAGCTTAGTATCTTCTTAGACAGTTCAGCCATTTTAGGCTTTTAGACAACCTCACAGCTCACCTCAAATTCAACCCATACTGCCATTTTGAACTGCCCATTCATCTTTTTGTGCTATTACAGCCAAATGTTATTTTCACCAAACAGGCACCTAGTTTATCTAACCCTACAATCAAGAGAATATCACCACATGTATGATTAAAAGATGATGCCTTTCACAGTATATGATTCAGGTCATTTTCTTCCTAATTTGATGGGATATGTATACCCATACGACAGTTCATTTTAATTCCCAACTTTGCTTAGTTTCACTGTGTGGTGTCATACTATAAGGAGTATTAATTAGAAGCTAAAGTGGTCATACATGTGGAAAGTCATCATCTTTAAATTACTTATGGGTAAAAATCCCTAGAATGATTATGACAACATTCAATTATGAATAATACCCAAAAAAGTAAACACATTGACAACATCTCTACTCATAAACTCGATCATTGAGTTATTTGGGATGCTTCCAGAACAAACTAGCTTTATCCAGAACTCCAGAAGCCCATTTTAAATGAAAATAAAGATTCAATTTTTAGAAAATCAACACTTTGTATAGCGTAATTCATAGGCACTGACCTGAACTGCTTGGAACCACTGCTTTTTCTCGATGCAATCGGAGAGAGCTTCAGTGACAGTGCTGGCCCATGGCTTGACTGTGTTATCTCTAGTCAATTTCTTCTTGATGTTCTTTCTGGGAGTTCTCTTATTCTTCAAGACTGAAGGTTCAGTAGTTCCGGGGAATTCCCCTTTCTTCCAGTGCCTTTTCTTCGGCGAGGCCACTGCGGAGTGAGAGGCGTCGGCGGTTACGGCGCACCGGACGAAGAGCAGCTGATGCCTGATCGTAGCAATCCTGACCGGGGGAGTGGAGGCGTCCGGCAGAGGAGATGGAAGGAGTGAGGATAAGAAGGATGGAGAAGACGATGTCGCCATTTCTCGACAGAAGAAAGTAAATGGTGCTGTAGTGATATCACTGAGAAACAGTTCTCTTTTATGAGATTTATCAATTTGAAATGAGTGGTTTACCCTCCCCTTCTTCTTTCATGGGATGGAAGAGCTCATGTGGTCGTTTGTGCTCGTTTGGGTTGTTTTTTAGGATTTTTCATAATAGATCTTTTCCATAAATATTACTACTCCCGTCCCACTAACTTTAAGAAAAATGATTTTATGTGCTTGATATAAAAATGATAAAGTAAGAATATAGAAAAATGATTTAGAGCTACACAAACTTTACGAAATTTGATACGAGACAATTTTAGTGATATTTCCCAAACAGAAAAAATGAGGTAATCTTAACCATACGGTTGTAGTACTAAATTAAATTTAAAAGACAAAAACATGACTTATTTTTAAAAAATTTCAAAAACGACATATCAAGTAACTAGATCCCAGTGACTCATTGTTTATCGGTGATTTGTCATTCAAAAATACATTATAGCGACTTGGATACAAAACCTTCAGGTTGTACCTTGTACACTTCCTCGAGATTTTCATTACTGAAAAGGGTTTTAACATCCATTTGTCAAATATCATGAGCATAGTATGCAGCTATCACAAGCAAAATCCAAATGAACTTGAGTTTTGCAACTGACGAATAGGTATTAATATAGTCAATTCCTTCTCTTTGACTATAACCTTTAGTCACTAGCCTAGCTTTGTATGTTTGCACCTTGCCTTCAGCATCAAATTTTCCTTTTGAAAATCCACTTGCCACTATTCATGGGATATGATTAAAACTTTGGTGATTTCTTTTATGAACTAATCAACACCATGGAATACGAACACAAATCAATTAACTTTACGGTCAATAAAATATTGTAAGCCGTGTGGGAACCTTTCTACGAGACGACATGTGTGTGTGTCTGTGTGTATAATACTGGTGTCATATGAAAGATCGTAAAAAGTTATAAATTTTGATATATTTTTTATAAAAATTGGATTATAAATATAAAAATTATATCACTTTAAAAAGGAGAGATTATTTTTCCTTTTTTTGCTATAAATCAGACGTGATGTAGGTTTTTTTTAATAGCTGTGATGTAGGGAGTTAATTAATTATTTTAGTTGTTGTGATAATAGAATTTAGATTATCCAATAGAAGGTTGACACATCATTAGATTTTAACTCAATTTTACTACTCCGTATATAAAACTATAACTAGATAATAATAAATTACACAATAAAGAGGAATGGGGCTGCCGCCACCCATTCTATTAATGCACATTTTTATTATTTTATTGAATACACTTGTATTCTAAATTGTAGTGATAAGTTCGTATTACAACATACATTTGATGCGTGTTGGGGTCGGATTTTGATGATTTTCCTAGTTTTAAGGCGTTGCAAATCTCAATTTTAGCTCAAGTTGTGTTTACCAGGCGTTGGTTCGAGTTTTGTGTCGTTTGGAGTCAAAATCAGGAAATTAGAGCCCGACATCGGCACTTGAGAAGCATTCGAGAAGAGTTGATGAGCATTCGAGAGAGAATCGAGAGTTTTGAAGGTCTCCGGGGGGTTCACGATGAAGATTTGATAAAGAAAAGACCTTTGGATTGATCACGGAAGCAATCGCAAGCGAAAGGGGAAGAAAACGGCTAAAAGGTGAAGTTAGAAGGAGCGCTCACCAAGCGCTTGACAGGCGCTCGCCAAGTGCGGGTGGCAGAATTCTTTAGAAAGAGCGCTCACCAAGCGCTCGACGCCCACTCACCAAGCGGGTGTGGCAGAAGTCTCTGGAAGGAGCGCTCGCCGAGCGCATGATGGGTGCTCGCCGAGCGGAGGTACGTTACGGAAATTTACGATTTAGGAGGTGCGCTCGCCGAGCGCTCCTTGCCCGCTCGCCGAGCGCTCCACCTGCAATTCCGATTTGACCCAAACTCATCTGTTTTCTATAAATAAGGTCTCCCTTCTCCTATTCAAGGTTACGAACATTACGGAGAGACCTAGGGACGAATTTGATTGCGTTTTTACGTTGTTTTCTTCAGAACCCTGGGATTATTTTTCAGTTCATCTTTTTAATTAATGACAATTAATTCTATTCTTCCCAATTCTGTTGATTCTTCAATTATGAATTGTGAGTAGTTTAATTAGGGATTTGGGATTGATGAAGGGATTGATCATAATGTATGGCTAGATTTTTGTCGATTTAATTGCATGAATGCCGTTTAATTTGTGTTTGAATAATTTAACTGATATCTCTTGTAACCTAGACTGCAGCTAGAATTACAATTGCATGTAGAATGAATTAAGAGAAATCTAATTTGTTCTAGGACACATTCACACACACGTAATCGTTCGCTAAGAGATTAGTAGCGATTAAGGAAGCCATAAGCTCGCTCGTTTTGGCAATAATTTAGGATCTTGTCACATGAGAGATCAGCCTGGTCCCCTAAATTATTGTACTCTACGCCGCGAGAGAGGTAAGAACTTAGTAATGATTAGCTAGATTCAATTGAATTAATTTCATGTAATTAGGCCTGATCTGCCAGAAATCTGGTTACCCCAGAATAAATCCATGTTCCCTTAGTCGTTAATTAGAAAGAAACCAAGCTTTTATTATATTTTCTCATTCGCATTAGTTTAATTTTCCAAACCAACCAATCTCGTACAATTGCATTTTATTTTATTTTTATTTCTTTTTCATCGCTGAATTTAGTTAATCTTTAATTCCCTTTTGTCCATCCCTGTGGAGACGATACTCGTACTTTCAACCACTTTTCTACAACCATTTTAAATGCGAGAAAACTGACATCAGTTTTTGGCGCCGTTGCCGGGGACGGTGTCGGTCTTAAGGGTTAATTAATTTCAGCGAGATTTTTTGTAGTTTGTTTTCTTTTTGTTCTTCGTAGGATTTTTCTGTGCTAACCTTTCCGGTATTTTTCTAAGAGGTATGAGATGAACCCATCCAGCCAAATTCCTGGAGGAATTCCATACCCTCAAACCTCCATGGAATATTCACCATATACGCCATACCCTTCATACACTCATCCTCCTCCATATTACACACATCATCAAAATTACTCTCCTACACCACAAAATTATCAGTTCCCTTATTCATACCCTCTAACCACGCAACCTTGTCTGCCTAAGAATAATATTTGTTCCTTCTGTGGAGGATGTCACCATATATCTTTTTGCCCCGTTAAACCTCCATATGACCATCCTTACTGGGCAACTACATACCCCACTTCGTCCTCCCCACAACTTACAAACACAAATGTTTCAGCCACTCCCACATACTTCCCGAACAATGAGCCTCATAATCAACAAGAGGAGGCAGATTTAAAGAGGCTTTCTAACATAGAAGAGACGCTCATACAGTTCATGCACATTACTGCAGCCAGAATGGAGACCACTTCAGCCAGAATGCAGAATCACTTGGATCAGCTGTTTAACGCCCTATCTGAGGAGTCCGAGAGATCCCATCCTAGCGACACAGAATCCCAACCCGAGGAGACCAATAGGGATGATCATGTGAGTGAGCCAGACTGCGAAGGTGGGAATATGATGGATGATACACTTCCAGATACTTTTGACGACCCACCTATGTTTGAACTTGAAGAAGAAGATAGTAGTGTCGAGTTGTTTTTCCAAGAATACAAGAAAAAGTTTGAAACACTACAAGTTGTAACTGATGAAGTCACAAATCACTGTGATCTTCATACAAAAACTCCTCAGCCGTTTGATTTACCATTAGTCTCAACACCTGAAGAGGGCAAGGAGCAGATCAATCATGATGATGGTGCTACTGAGGTAGGTTTGGGTATTGAAGATGAGTTGGGAGAAGATGATTACACCCTCCACGAGAGTGGGGGCGAGGTAGATCATGTCCATAATGAAGAAGTCCCGCTCCACAAGATAGAATTCCCCTCTTGTACACATGCACCGGTCCACTCTTACGTGGTTTCGGATATGGACTTCTTTGATTCACTCCTTGATGATGATATTTCTTCTTATGTGGAGAATGACAACATCATCCGAGAAGATATTGATAAGAACGATGTTAACGAGAGTTGGGATGCCTTCATGGGGAGTGATACAGAGTCCAGAGGAGAGAGGTTGTGAATTTTCATGATATTTGTGAGGAAGAAGAAGACTTTTCTATGGTGCAGTTTGATTACGGTGTTGCTCCTACTCCTTGCTTTGAAACATCTTTTGAGCTTCCGGTCATAACTAGAGTAATCAAAGTTTTGACTCATGTTCTCTGTCCACATAAAAAGGATGTGAGTTTCATCCTTCACTTCTGCGCTGATGAGGGTTATGAAGACCATCCATATGTTACCTACGTGTACCCGAGAATTTAAGAATCTGTGCCACTTAATGGCATTTGTTGAAAGAAAGCTGGAAACGTTGATTATTAGTGCACCCTTACAGTCTGTGCTATTTGAAAGCTTACGAGGTATCGTCGGGCAAACAACGTTAAAAATAGCGCTTCTTGGGAGACAACCCAAGCTTATTTCCTGCACTTTTATTTTTGTTTGGTTGCTTTCAGAGAACCCCCGAAAAAAAAGAAAAAAAAACGGGGTGTTTTCTGTGTTTGTGTGTTTTGTTTTTTTGCAGCTCAGGGTCTTGCTTTGGGGATGATGTGTCAAGGATCACTTGACTCAGTTTAGTTCTGCACCGATTATCGCCTTGGGGAAGTTTTTTGCGACTCTTATAATCGTCTGTTTGTAATAATTGACTTGAGTTGAGTTGAGCATGCATGACCCTTTCCTCTTTACCCCCGTGTGCATAGTGCATTTTTGGTCATCGAGGGCGATGCCAAAGTTTAAGCGTGGGGAAGTGAATTGGGCATTCGGGCAGTAGTTGTTACATGCACTACAAGAAAAGTGCACAAAGACCGCACATAGACCATTTTTTTTGCGATGGCCGCATAACTGTCGTTAAAAACACTATTAACCACACATTTTTTTATTTACCACATACAAAACTGTGGTAAAAGGTCAGAGACGACAGTTTTTAACTGTGGCTAATGTTTTTACCACGGCTGTTGTGGCGATGCACGTAAAACTGACGCAAAACTGTCGTAAATGTTCTTCCTTATGTTTTTACGACAGTTTTGCTACAGTTTTAGG